GACAATGAAAATAGTAACATAGACGCGCATCGACGAAATGAAGAAGCATATATTTACCCGCTTAATACTTAACACTAATCATCAGATTTAAAAAAACGAAATAAAAATTCTATTAGCAGTGCACCGTCGTTCTTTAACACCTATTGCTCAAAGACGTGTTAAATTCGTTTTATTTTTACTGAATTTCTACAATCTGTTGACTACTATATAAAGATGTCAGGACGAGAGAAATTTCATGCATTACATAAAACTACACTTATTTATGAAATATGAATAATAAATAAAAACATTTCTCTATAAATGAAGTTTCTTTTAGCTATAACTCAGGATTTGTATAAATTTGTTGAAGTATCAGATAAATAACCATAGTTAAAAAAAAAACAGAATTGGTTTTATATTTCTATTTAAAACATATTTTCATTTAAAAACACTTTCAATGATAAATCTGAATTCGTTACATCTAGATCATATACACTTGTCATTGAACTACGGATGCGAAAATAATTCTTTCCTTTATGCGCTTGAATACATAATGCTGTATCGGACACTGGAGTCATGTAAATGAGCTGGTATTAATTTATATGGAGATTTCATATTAAAAAAAGATGACTTTTTATCATAATAGATTCACTTGAGTAGTATATACTGAGATTGCAATTAATAATATTGAAATATGGAAATGTTCTTAGAATAAGAAATTTAATATTTTGCTCATAGAATATTTATTTTTACTATACTATGCATCGAATTAAAAATGCTCCAGAAATACTAATTGTTAAATGATATTTCATTTGCAACAGTTCAACCAAATGTTTTTTTTTTTTATTTTGGTTTGAATATACTATATATTCTATTTAATATTTGTTCAACAATTCTCGTACACTTCTATTTTGCTTTATTCGAAGTGTTTTTGTTCTCTTGCTAGAAAGCAGTCTAAACATTTTTATTAATTGCAATAAAGTTCTTAGGAATTAATAAATTTTGGGTAGGTTTTTGGATTTTATACATTCAAATTTATCGTGATAATTTATGGTAGAATATTATCAAATGATAGACTCAGTTAAATTTTCTCTTCTTCAATAACGATATGTTTAGCTAAGATTCTAGACAAAAATGTATACTTTTCAGGTATAGTTTATGTTAGAATGCAATTTTATTCTTAAAGTTGACAGATGTTCAGAGCTTTCTGATCATTGATGTTTTGTAAATTATTATTTTTGAATCGTCAATGCGAACTATGTCAATGTTAATAATTCATCATCACACTAAAAGGTTTATTGGCTTTCTATATATTAGAATATTCTTTAATTAACAATGTATATTTTAAATTGCGCTCAGCAATCAATGTTTTACAACATACATTAACGTAATGGTGAATTTTGCTACAATAAATAATGCAAATCAGTAAATGAATAGCTCTGAGAGAGATAGAAAAAATGACGTGCTTGTGCGTTACAATCATAGAAAGCCTCATATGATTTTGTTTAAATACTGCTGGATTAAAAGAAAAACAATTTTTGTGACTGAAATTATTCAATTCACAAATTGAAAGAAAAAAAAGCGTTTTTTCAACTAAAATCAACTATTTTAAAGTGAAAGATCTACCGTAGATAAAACATTAAGTCCCAAAACCAATATATTTTGTGCACAGATCTTATTATCTGTTTCAAGTAATAAAATAATCCAGTGATACAATTAATTAGTAGTCCTTCGATTTCTTGGCTACTCGGCCCGTAACATTCGAAAAGAAACAGTGTTGTGCCAAGTCGTGTAACTAATCTAGTTATAACAGCATTTTAGAATTTCTTGTTAAGCAAAGACCTACAATAGAAGAAGAAATAATACAACTTAGAAAGAACAAGATAATATGAACAATATCAAGAAGTAGTTATTATTCACGATAGTTATTTAAATGGTTCAAAAAGAAAGGTAGACAAAGTTGGCTTGAATTCTTGTTAAATTTAAATTTGTAGATATTGATCAACATTGTAGTTTTTGAAAATGCACATTGCTTTATGATGCAAAGAAATAAATATGTATTACAATATTTGAGACGACATTGAAAGTTTATAATACTTTTAGTCATTGATTCACCAAGTAATTGATTTTTTTAATAGATTAGTCAATAATTCGTATCCAAAATTCTAGCTACAAAGTCGAATTCGTATAAAGAAAATTATTGATTTATCTTTTGATTCGAATAAAAAAAAGTCATAATACTATGAGATTTAGTCATGCTAAATTTTTTCAATATCGAACGGTTGTCGGAGAGAATGTGAATAGTATGTTATTACGCAAATTATAAATCATAATTAGATTGATGATGCTACAAACAATAGCATGAATGAAAACGAATTCGGGTGTGAGTGTAGGTTTGCCTCTGTCTGTGGATGTTGATGAAGGAAAAAAACACATTGTCATGCACAATATCACACGTGTAAGAATTATAAACTCGAAGTGTAGGTATGAGTGAATATGTTTGTCAGCGCAATGTCTCATTTAAATTTTTTTTTGAGTAGTTGTTACTTATAAATTGATAGCTTCCATCGAGCTCAATCAAACACAACCAGCTATGCTTGTTAAAAATACCTATTGATCTTGACTGTAAACACACTCTATACGATACGGCACTAATACGGTCTTAAATCACGGTCCAGGTTTACGATAAAATATGACAATATCCATCCGCCACGCAAACCAATCAATTTTTGTTACAGGATATCATTTCATACCGTAGCACGTTATATACAGTCGTTTGAGTAAGACAGACTGACAGGATAGTTCTTGACGCTGTTCACGTCTAGACATATTATACACTTTGGTATCGTTTCATTTTATCAACAAATTTTGGAAAAGCTCATACATGTAAAATTCGAATAGCTGTTACAACTATTCGAATATTGAACTATTCTAATACACCATATAGCATCACCTAGAATGTTATCAGCGTCACCTAGGATGCTGCTAGGTTCATCTAGAATGCTACCAGTATCACCTGAGATGCTGGTAGCATAACCGAATATAGTGCTGTGATTACCTGGGCTCCGCATATCACATTCTGTGGTGCTAAAAGCACTCACAAACATGGGTGTCCAACAAGGACTGACACCGACGCTTATACTCGCACATCACATCGCAATCATGTGGGTGTCATGAAAATAGAGACACTCAGAATATACCATTATTTGAATAGTAGCATATTTGAATAGTTGAATAGTTGTAACGGATTAACGACTTCTTTACTACTGGCGTTTTAAATGAAAACTACTCGTAGAATTAATCTGGTACATATGATAAAGTTTGGTGGCAAGACAATTGACCAGTAATTTTGAGAACAAAAAGTTGATCTAATGCTCTTGATTTTTAATGTATTTATCGAATTTTATAAATTTTATGAACAGCAAGCTAAACTTCTTCAAAGCATACCATATTTATCGGTTCGATAAAGAATAATCACACAATAAATAAAAACTCGAAAATCTGACATAAATTAACAAAAATGAAATACATAACAGCAAAAAAAAAGACAATACTATAAACACAAAAATGAAAATGCTTAATCTTAGTCAGTATGTAAACGTTTCCTTGATGATTCATCTTCATCTGAAGCTGAAAAGAATTCCGATGATCCACCAGAATCTCTGATGGTAACAATAGTAGTTACAGTGTTATCATTCATCTCATTTTCATCGGTTTGAGTTGATTGATCATTAAATGACTTTGGTTCTGGTAAAACAAATTGAAAATCAAGTTCATTATATAAGGTTTCGTCGTCACTAAATGATAATAACCATGCACGCAATTCATCAATCTAAACGACAATTTTTATTGATTAAATCATTCAAGATTAAATTATTTAAATTAAATATTCACTCTATGATGATCATCATTGCTAAATGAATATGAAAAACTGCTTTGCGCAATTGGTTCATGACTTGTATCATCTTTACCATCAAATATGAGCCTGAGAAAAAAAACTTAGATCCTAGTTAATGTATAATGCAAATTAAAAACACACATACCAGCTATAATAATTAGAAGATTTCAATTGTATACAACCACTTTCAGGTTTATAAGTAGTTATCTAATGGATGAAAAAAAAAATGATGAATATTCTTTGTTCAGAATTACTCACTTTCATTCGATGTAATCGAATTAATTGTCCAACTTCAATCTGAACAGGAAGTTCAATCATACCAGCATATGATTCACGATACAGAAGACAACTGGCTCCTTTTGGACCTGAAGCAAAAGAATTATGAATTACCTAAAAGACTATCATTCTTTTATATTTATATCTTTTATTTACCTTTACCATATGAGGTCGGATCACATATACCTAATAGCATACAATTAACACTGACTTCACGACGAAATTTGATTACACCATATAGACACCATTTGGCACCAGTTGGTTGAATTAAATTATATAATTCATTTATTGTTTTATATTCATACTAATAACAATCGTAACATAAGACTTGAAATTTTCTTCTAACACATACTTTCTTAGGCGTTCCAGTCATGGTTACAGCTATTGATTATCTTGATGGCATTTATCTAGAAAACAAAAAGCAACAGCAAACAAAAAAGAAAACCATCAATCGACTAATGATTTGAAGTTTGTTGCTTATTAATTCTTGCCAAACATAATAACAAGAGATACAATGAAAAGAAACAGAAAGAAGAAAAAAAAAAAGAAAACAACAAGAGAAGAAGACAAAAGGTCGAATCAACTGATTAACACACACTGTACAAAATAAATTTCAATCTCATTCTTTCTATCGAATAGAGAAAGAAAAAAAACAACAACAAAGGATTGAGCAAAATATCGAATGTACAATATGCATGTATAAATGACAGAACAAAAAAAAGAAAACCATATATACATAATATCTTTGACAGAGTTATTCATAAAACAAAACACAAACGCTCACACACATGCACCACCGGTTCTAAATCGTACTGTTCAATAGATGATTCATCATATATTTCTTATATTATGATTTGTCTTTGTGTTTTCGTTGATTATCATCTTGTTTAAGTATACGTATTTGTGTTCTATAGGCTTGTGAAAGTCCTTTTTGCCAAAAACGTATTAATGCTAAATCACTTGTATTTTCAACATTTAATATTGTCATTTGTCGACGATCATTAAGTGATACTGTGGTTGCTGTTTGACAACGACCAAGTTGAAAATAAAGTTTTGCTTTACTTAAAAATAAAACAAAATAAACTATGAATTCAATCCATTTTATCAAATATTTAAAATTTGTTACTTTAAATATTTCATTTTATAATGTGTAATCATAGATTCAAATGCTTCTTCATCTAAAGTATTATCTGTTGATAAATTAATAATTGTTTTAACATAAGTTGGTACTAAAAAAAAATTTAATTTAAATAAACGATACCGTCGGGCTTGGTGATTCGTCTTGAATCAACATCCCTTATATATGATCTTGTAGAACAATTTACATCGCATTAAATGATATATGAGAAATCAAGTTTGTTAGAAATTATTATATACTGAGAATTCATATATTGGTTTAAGTCCTTGAGGAATTTATATGGTACTCATAGACTTAGTGCTCTCTCTCACATGTTCTAAAGTAAGGTTATGCAAATTTTATTTTTAAACTTAATTCGATAAAGTATAGATGCTGTTGAACTTTCTGTAATTAATAGGTTTCATTGTTACTCTTTTCATAGTTCAAAATGTCCATTTGCATTTGGTCTCAACTATTTTGTAGACAATGTGGCATTCTCGCGGACTTATTTGTATGTCACAGAACAGCGAAGTATCGAGATGAAACTTTCTCAAAAGTTGTACACTATAGAGTTCTATGTGCTTCACAGATGATATCTTTCAGAATATCAGAGACTCTTTGTCAACTTATCAGAGTATCCTTTAGAAATAGTCTATTTTCCTATGTGAAATAGCTGATATATTGATGATTTTTTAACATACTTAACGGTTCTATTAAAAGTTTTTAAGTACTAATAATCAATACAGTATCACTGATGAACTGTTATAAATAGCTTCTTTATAAACTGAAAGAAATATTTTAACCTTTGCACTCCTGCAGAAGAGTGCAGAGATAAAGACAAATTTATTTTTAAAATGAACATAGGCTATTTATAGATCCTTCCAGAATTTCATACATAAATCATACCTGGATGTTTGGAATAAAAATTTGAAAAAGAAATTATAAAAATAACAGATCTCATTCCTAAAATCCTATATCCGTACCCTCTCAAGGATCTAGAAGGCAAAAAGTTTTTTTCGTGTATAAAGGAGCTAATTATAACTGTTCATCAGAGATAGTGCGTTGATTATTATGTACAACTTTTGAGAAAGTTTCATCTCGATACTTCGCTGTTCTGTGACATACAAATAAGTCCGCGAGAATGCCACATTGTCTACAAAATAGTTGAGACCAAATGCAAATGGACATTTTGAACTATGAAAAGAGTAACAATGAAACCTATTAATTACAGAAAGTTCAACAGCATCTATACTTTATCGAACTAAGTTTAAAAATAAAATTTGCATAACCTTACTTTAGAACATGTGAGAGAGAGCACTAAGTCTATGAGTACCATATAAATTCCTCAAGGACTTAAACCAATATATGAATTCTCAGTATATAATAATTTGAAGCAAACTTGATTTCTCATATATCATTCAATGCGATGTAAATTGTTCTACAAGACCATATATATGGAATGTTGATTGAAAATGGGTCATCAAATTCGATGGGTTGTTTTCAAATAAAGAAAGAAGAAATGAGAAAGTACTAACCAGGAACTTCTGATCTTGTTGGTGGTAATGTTTCTAATTTAACAACGCGAAGATTATCATCAATATCGTCAAGGATTATTTTAATAATAATTGAATTGCTATCATTAAAATCTTCTGTTATCGATGATAATATATCATTTGTTAAAACTAAATCTGTATCAAATAAAACTAAATTTGCTGTACATGGTGCTTTTTGATTTGTAACTTCAATTAAATGAAAACAACCATCAGGCAAAAATAACTATGAGAGCAAAAACAGTAAATCAATTTAAAAAAAGTAAAATAAAATTTTTGTTTTTATACTCGAAAAACACTTGCTAAAGCACGAATTATATCTTTATTATCAATTAGATTTGTATATTTAATAATTAAACGATTTCCAATAACCCAATTATATAAAATATATTGTAAATATTTAGTATTATTTAATTTTTTAATAAATAAATCAAATGCTTTAAAAGCTTCATGACTATTCGATGAAAATTGATACTGTAATGAATCAAAATCATCATCTTCATAGAAAATATTTACACTTTGTTGATAGCCATCAGCAGTTGAATAGAGTGATGTTGCTAAATAACTTTGATTATCAGAATCATTTGTTAATGTTGATGATATTATTAATGAATTTTGATTTCCATTTGTTATAGACCTTGAAATAATGGTTGTTCGTCGACGTTTTGCCATTGTATTTGTTGAATCTTCGTCATCAAACACATCTAATAAAAAGACATTTGATGAAAATGAATGAACCTTCTTTTCTTTACTTTACCTTTTCGTTCTTGTTTTGTTGTTTGTTCTTCTGTTGGTAGAGCATCAAAAAGTGTTTCTTTTATTGCTGAATTAGCGATACGAAGTAACCAAACAAATAATGCATGTATACGAAATGTTACGTTTGAATCTTGTACAACATCACTAAGCATTCGTTGTGATGGTACAGTTGGTGGTGGACGAAAGATATATGTAGTTATTGCTGATGTTCCATTTAAATTTGTATTTACTCTAAGACGTCCTTCTTGTTCATAAGTTTCATTAGCATCATATTGTAACCAGTGAGCAGCTTGCCGCAAACAACTACTAACAAGTTTCATTAATGAAAGAAGATGATATTTATCATTGCATAAATAACATAAAGAATAAAGACGTTGACTACCACGAGCATGAAAATCTTTACATGAAAATGCTAATGATAGACAATAACCATTTTCATCATCACCAAATAATATTGGAGCATCAACTTCAACAGATTTCTATAACAAACAATGTTTTAGATAGAATGTTTAATAGATTCTTGAATTTCATAAGAGAAAAATTATCCAAAGCAAATGAAACAGTTTTGATTTTAAAAAAAAATTGAAAAGAGGAAAGTTAGGAATGTCAAATCTACATAAAATTTAGAGGACGGTTAGATTGTATGGCTTGTCATTTGATAACATATAAAGAGTTTGTCAGTGCAACTTTTTTGAAGATAAAATGTGGAACTCATATATGTTCTTTAGCTTCATTATATTAATACTAGATACGCAAAGTGAAAAATCTCTAACAAACTATAGTTGTTTTTCAAGGATAACCGATTGTCAGCGAAATGATCAATCTTCTTTTTTTATTGCTTCAGTTCAAATAGAAATTTTTTCGTTTTCATATTCCTTTTTTTTCTTTATCCAATATTATTATTGTTATTGTATCTACAGTACGTCATAACACATTATTATGTATATCGATAAGCTTAGAAAGACTGATATCGATAATCATCCATCATTATTGACATCTATTATATATTTTCTTGATCTGCACAAATATCAGTCTAAGTCTTGTTGCCAATATTGTTCAGCACTTTTTTCTGTTACTAACAAACTCTAGGAAAGGAGTTTGCTGTTGTTGATCCTAGTCATATTGTAAGCGACTAAAAGAGAAGAATATTTAATTGATTCAACCTCTGACTGTGTTTTTCTCATAACAGTTTGAATTGAAATTATAAAATATTTTTATATAACGTATTTAATATTCTCTAAATCAATACTTTTTCGTGATCTTTATTTCAATATTAAAACTTATGTTTTCCCCTTCTAGATATCGAAATTTATCTAAAAGAATCTTACGATTTAAAATAAATAATTTTAGTTCGTGAATAAGAAAACAAAATAAACTCTTGTTAGAAAAACAATTAATTTAATAACATACTTCAACATTTAAACTTCGTACGCATGCATTTCGTATATCCTTAAATAATTCTTGATTAGGTGTTGATGGTGATGAAATATATAACATATGATTTAGAGAATCAATAGATGAAACAAGAACATTATCAGATGATAATGTACATGACTAAATGAAAATTTTATTATTAATTTTAGAAAAAAGAAAAATTACTCAAATTTTTTTACTTTACCTTGCATTCAACTTTTCCTTGTGAATTTTCTGATTTAATATACTGTGAGTAAAACGTTTTTAAATCTTCATCATCATCATCATTTACATCTTGAACATATATTCTAGCTTCTGTACACAGTAATATTTGTGGACCATGTATGTCACAAAAATGTTGTAATGCACAAGACGCATTCATAAAAATATTAAACAATAAATATTGACATGTACAGAATGAAGTATAACAATAATGAAAAAAAGAATTATCTACAAAAAAAAATTGACAAACAAACAAACATCTATTATTAAAAACAAAATCTTCTAAATTTGAGATTCATCATTGTTTATAGATTTTTAATTTGAAAAAAAAAACAATGATAACGAAGAACAAAGCAAATTATTAAAATTACCGAACAAATAATTTAAAACCATGATAAGTATCAATAACGCGTGGTGCTAATAAATGGAATCGCCATCGTTTTATACAATTAAACATATATAAAAATGGATAAATAAACAATGATGGAATGTATGTTAAAAGATGATAAATAAAATGAAGTCGTTTTAAAAATAAATGTTCACTTAAATAAACATCAACATCGGCATTTGATGGTTGACGAAAATTAAATTCAGGATAATAATATGAAAATGAACATTTTGGTTCAAGATGATTTGCACGCCATGATGCATTCGAATCATGACTTGTTTTTGATGTTTCATCAGCCATATTTAATTTAAGCCATATTTCTGTAAATACACCTAAATGTACTTGACCTAATTCAATTAATTTTGGTATCTTCTTTTGTCGATTAAATGTTTGTAAAATAATAAACACACTTGGTTTACATGAAGTATTAAATGTTTGACAACGTATTTGTTTTAACCATTTATGTGAATTAAATGTATCAAACACGAGAACAAGTCTTGATGTTAGTGATGATTCACTATCACACCACCATTGAAAAAGAAGATTCAATGTTATTTTTTGATTATCTATTCAGAAAAAAAAATATAAATTTTAATATTTTTTTTGTAAAAAAAGGCCAAATGACTCTCTTTACCAGATAAAATTATATCACCATTATCACATGTTGGACCGGAAAAGTAAAAAAAATATGTATCGTAATGTCGACCATCATTGGTACGACGTGCAAAAAATGCTTTTAGTTTTGTATCAATAAAATTCATGGTTATACCGGAGGATGAATAATCACAACCAAATATATCAATTAAATTATTAGCCATAAAACGTTCAAGACCATTGAGTATATTTGTACAACGTTGACTACTATCATAAGCATCTTGTTGAGAAAGAATTTGTACATTTCTACTAGTAATATTTTGATAGAAAACAAAAGATAATTTTTCAAACAAAAAATTATGTTTACCTGCTGGAAAATAAACCAGTATCACGAGTTCTAAGAAAACAATCAGAAATTTTATTGAATATGTATCCAACTTGACTGTTTTTATGACAATATTTAAAATCAAACTCTTTCAATATAATACATATGAGATTAAAATGTGTTAAATAGATAGTGGAGCTGATTAAAAGAAGCTTGAAACAAGAAAAGAAGTGATTTCTGACAGAAAAGAAACTATACCTTAGAGCGACTTCTGTAACAATTGATGCGTTCGATTCCCAATGACTCGGTCTATAATTTAATAGATCTCTCAGTTCAGTTCTTTTAAAAGTCCAGAATAATTAACAATCAAATAAATTGTAGTTTTCAATTCTTTGATTTATTATACACTGCTTTTATTTATATTATGTCTATATGTAGGAAATCTTATTCGAAGAAAAAATTCAACCTACTTCAATTATTGAGACAATTATGAAATTAAGTATTTGTTTTAATGTCTTCGTTGGATGAATGAGTTTAGGAGACCTTGTTTTTATTATATAGATTGCATTAAAAAAAACAGATAATCTCTGAATATTAATAATTACTGAACTATGCATGATTACATATGATAAATGTTTACTTGACAAATGTATGAATATATTCATACCAAATGAAAAAGAAGACATATCAGTTTAAAATCTCTTAACTTTTTCTTTCTGAAACTAAAATTTCTTATATACTAGAAGAACAGTATAAAATATGTAAGAGAAGCTCTCTTGTCAATATATTTCCTTTATGGTTGAAAACGATCTAGTGAAGTTTTCTTTGACAAGAAATGTTTATTTATGAAAATAGCTGAATAAAATACAAAGTTGGCCATGTTTTCTGAAGCGGAAACAATTAAAATTTAAATGATTCTATCATTTGAATTCTAATGAATGCATTTCTGATACTTATTTCATCATATATCACTTTAAATCATTTTCTCAATTTCGATAGAAATCTGAAGTTTACTTGAGACACAAATCTCTTTCTGACTTCTATGCTATGTGTATATATATATCGTATTATAGTCTATTTATCAAAATTTCGAACATGAAATTTTTAATAATCATTTTTTAATTATAAAAGAAGAAAAAAAAATACTTACTCAAATGCTGGTGCCACTAATGCATAACCAATACATGATCCACCAACAATTGATGTAAGCTGTTTCACAAGTGCCAAAATCAAACATTCAAAATGCATTGTTAAAAGTAATAATACAAGAGAATAACTTGTACATGTATCATAATGTAATATACCAATGAAACATGTTAACAATGTTGAACATACAAGAATTGGCCAAGCAATAAGGCCAAAATATCGAATACCTTTATCAAAAAAGTAAAATAAATCTCAAATTTTATTTAAGATCTTTTCTCTTAAGAAAAAAAGTCAATAGTGATCAGAAAAATTGAAATCTAGATAAATACATCGAAAGATAACTAGAGATCTGATCTTTCGTAAGCAACAAGATTTTTTATATGATATCTAGTTTTTTTGATCGTTACCTCTGAATTCTCTGTGAATCTTCATCTCTATATTATGTTTAACTTTCTTTTTTTCAATTAAAAATTGTTACTATTATATAAAAGAGTACTTTTATAATTAGAGCGCCATTTTTCGAGATCATGATGTTTTCATTCTTCTTCCTTGCTTAAAAGGAAAGCATTTAAAAACAAGGATTCTTTTACGAATGACGTCCTGATATGCTCTTTCAAACAAAAAAAATTAGATTAGATAGAATGAAGGCCTATAGAGAATTTTGAATTCCCAGATGAGCTATTTTTCACACTTTTTTGTTAAATATTCCTGAAAAACGTCAATGATATAAGGATGAAAATTTTATCATAACTTGTACACAACTGTTCGAACATGTTTTGAGAGTTTCATGCAATTTGAATGTACCTGGTCCAAGATCGATTTTTAGAAATGAGATTGCTTTAAATAAAAATTTCAAATTTACCTCTTGATGCCATTAATTTAGTAAATGAAACTTTATGATATTCATCATTATTATTTGCTTGAATCATAGTTAGATAACAATCAATTAATTTATTTGATAACATCCAAAGTAAACTACATGTTAACAAACGAAATAGAAACCATATTCCTACACTTAATATAAATACTGGTACAATAATAAACCATTCATCATGTAAGCGTACTGTTTGTCCAATAATATAAATACAATGAAATGGTAATATACAATAAACAACTATCATAAAACGTTGAAATAATGTTCTATATGAACTTGATAAATATAATAATACAATCCAACGTTCAAGTGATGTTAAAGAAATAAAATAAAGTTCAATTATTGGTCTTCCTATTAAACGTACAAGAAAACAAAAACATGCTATATAAGAATATGGTGTATAATAACTATAAAAATAACTTAAAGTAAATAAAATAAGTATAAATCCATGAAATGCACGTAAACGTAATGTTATTATTAAGAGAAATAATGATAATATTAAATAATAAAGTGCTATTGATTGTGATATTATATATAAACCACAAGTAAAACCAACTAATTCAGCTAATTCATTATAATGTATAAAATAAAATTTTGTATTATTTAATAAACGTATTAAATTTGATAGAAATGAAAATATTATTGATAGAATTAATAAAAAATTAAATAACACAAAATTTGTTGTTGATGATATTGTATTTGTTATTAATGTAAATGTTGATAATGATAAACATAATGATAAAAGAAATGATGTTAAAAATATAAATAAATTTGAAAATAAATTTGGTAATAGACGTGTTAAAAAAAAAAGTATTATATAGAATATTAATATTACTAATAATACCCAGCGTGATATCAAATGTATATCAGAACGATATTTGACAATAAATAAATCATGTAAACAAGCAAAAAATATGAGACAATTTGATATACATGAAAGGAGTCGATCAAGATTTTTTAACATCTAAAAAAAGTATAAAATTTACTTATTTTTATAATATAAATGATATACATAAATATATTATATGTATAAATATATATGTCACAGTCGTATTGTTTTTAATCATTTGAATGAAAGAAAACATGTTTGCGATTGTATTTCTTTCTTTTTTTAATATAAGACTCAAATGTTAATAAATGTAAACACAAATGTGTCATTATTGAAATTTTTCTATGTGCTATTAATTCACCATAACGTTTCATTAAGTATAACCATAATAAATTAGCATATTTTTTTTGAGTTTTACATATATATATATATAATGAATCTGTATTACCATTGTATGGATCACAGGTTGAGAAAAGTAGAATTATTAACAATAATTCAATAGATGTTGAATGATTTATTTGATCTTTAAATTTATGTAATAAAGTATTAGATTCTTCAACTAATAATTTTACAAATATTGTTTATTGTAATAAATTAATCGCAGACCATAATGGTAATTGAATATTTATAGTTTCAATACAACTAATTCGAATTATAAATATCATATTATGTTTACTTAATACTATTTGTTGATGATTTGTAAATTGTTTAAATTCAGATAAATTTAAAAAAAAATTGATTAATGATGTTTCATGTTCTTTATAATATTCAAAATGATGTTGTATTTAATTGTTGATTTAAGTGATTGTTGCCAAAATAATTCATATATATATATATTTTTCAAATGATATTAATGGTAACCGACAACATACATCATGTGCATAATAAATTCTCGTTATATTATTAAAATCAATAGTTTTTATGGAAATTTTTTTTTTCTTATCACATGTATCAATTGGATGAATTATATTTAATGAAATTTGACGATTTTGAAAATTTTTTTGACGTTTTTAATTCTTTGGTTAATATTAATTCGTTCTTTCATCTTAACTTGAAAATATTTTTTTAAACGACAATATGAACAATCTCAAAGTATTTTCATATTAATAATACAATCTTCTCATCAATATCGACATTGTAATAGTTGTAAACCAAATAATGCATCACGACGAGAAAATGCTTTACGACACATACATATTATCACAGCAAAATAAAAACCAGTTGCTTATGCTTCATAAACCGTACACTTCAAATCTTTATTATAAACACATGATTTTTCTATTAACATTTCATAAATCCGCTACTTCTGATGACTTTGAACGTTTTTTATTAATACAAAGTCCATGTGATTATTGTTTGAGATCAAGTTCTATTTTGTTAAGTAAAGTTTTATGTTTTACATTAGTGTTCGATATGCACGATACAATCGTTTAATATAATGACATTGAATATAGCGATCATATTTGTTAATCTCAGCATACAATGAAAAATTTGTTTTCGCATAGTGACATCTTTTTTTTTATTTACTCAATGAAAAGTTGAGTTTTAATATGAAAAAATTTATTTTTTATTAAATTTATTGATTTTTGTTAAGAAATTGTACGTTAAAATTTTAATTTCTATTTCATTGATTTGTATTGGTGTATTTAATTCGTGTACGTGGTGGTAGAAAGTAGTCAGAATAAAACGATAACATAGCTGTTTTATTCATTTTTTTTTTCAAAGATCGATAATGATGTTTATCAAGACGCAATTGATTTTACTTGCATTAATATCTGTTGTATTCAGTCAAACAGATGATGAAGAATCATTTTTATTCGTTACAAAACAAACAGTTAATCGATTTATTGTACAAGATAAAGAATTAACTATTAAATATGGATTATACAATTCTGGTCCAACGTAAGCAGAATATCTTTCGAGTTTGTTGTTTCTCTTATTATTTTACTTATTTTAGAACAATTTTTAATGTTAATCTAAATGATGTTCACAGTTATCCATCTGAAAAATACGAATTACTTGTTGGTACACTTACTCCTAAATGGGAACGAATTAATGCGTAAGTTTTCGATTTAAATCTATTGTGTCATAGAATATATTTTTATTTAGAGGAACTAATTTAACACATGTTGTTGTTCTTAAACCAAAACAAAGTGGTATCAGCAATAGTTCACATGCTGTTGTCACATATCAGAAGAGCGAAAAAAATACTGATACTCAAGTAAGATAATAGATATGTTTCAAACCTAACTAATCCAATGTTGATCATCCTTTATTTTCTTTTACCTAAGCAAACAAATAATGATACTCCTTTAGATGAATGACACCAGAACTCTTTGATTTACTCTGTCAGTCAGATCACTTAGTGTGTAAGTTGTCGTCAAATTGAAGAAGGATCTAAATAACAAAGTGTAGCTTGACGAACTGGAAGGAAATCTATTAAATCCATACATTGAGAGTATACGCCCTAAATTACAAGAATTCAATAGAATTTTATTAATAACTAATTTTGTAGTGTTTCATGACAAATGATGCATTATATATTGAAGTTTATTATATATGTCTTTGATATAGAATTACATGTCAAATTGTATTAACAATTGATTTTAATCTTGCATTATATTTCATATATATATTTTTATTTTTATAGAGAACTTATTCATCTGAAATTGGTGATGTTTATATAATGACAACTCGTGAATATGATAGACGATTTTCATCACATATTGTGAATATCTTATTTTTTTTATTGCTGATAGAAATTAATAGTTCTTTTTTTATTTATTTAGATTGATTGGGTTCTTTTTACTGCTATGGCAAGTCCATGTATTATTTTTCCATTTTTTCTTTGGTTTAAAAGCAAAAGCAAATACGAATCATTATTAATGAAAGATAAATCAACAAAAAAAGCTCAATAGATAAATAAACATTTCAAACAAATCAAATATATTTGTTTATTCGACGTGCGATGTTCTTCTACTTATTCTTTTCATTTTTTAACTTGTCATGTCAACGGTGATTGCTTGTGTGTACTCTTGGTAGTTTCGTCTTCATGGTTATTGTTATTTGTTGCCAACAAAGACACTTTCTTTTGTTGTTTGTTTTTAGACTTGCCGTCGATCTTTTCTTTCTCCTCTTTATTGTTATTGATGCCAAAAAAAAACATGGAAAAATGATTTTAAAACAAACATCATTGCGCTAAAATCTTGAATGTGTAAAACCTTTTTAGAAAATTATGGATAGAAAAAAATCTCTGTTTCTTTGACAACAATTTTTATTTGAAAAATATCTCAATATTGTTTTTATTGATATGGGTTACATAAGATTTTGAGTGACCATTTGTCGAACAATGGTGGAAAAACAACAGAAATATATCTTGTAGTGAACTCTATAAACTATAAATTAATAAGAAAATTATTTTGTTTTATGTTACTCGATATTCGAAAAAGGTGTGTTATGAAACCGATAAATTTCAAAAAGGCTCAAAAGTTGGATTTTCAAAACAATTTTTTTTTTCTATCAACAAACAAAATATACGATGAGAATGCAACTGGTGGTCCAGATAAAACTGGCCACTTTTATCTTCTGTTTTTCAAACATCCTAAAGTAACGTTAAAACTTGTCTTTAGGCTTATTCATTGTAGAATTTATTTGTCTACAAAAATAGCTAATTTATTTTTCAAATCGCATCACCTTATTCGCGCAAAGTTCACACGATTCAGTGCTGAGCAATCGTTCAACAACGATCTCATATCTTGTTGCAGATATGAACAGGTTTATATAACCCTACGGTTGTCAAGTTGATGACAAAAGTAAAATAGTTCACAGGAACGTATAAAGAAATTTGCTTTGTTTGCTTCTATGATCTTTTGAATGTTCTTACATCTATACTTCACAAGGAAAAATCGTAGAAATAACACTTGTCGGTTTTGTTTAGATTAGTGCCCGGTGTGACCAACTTTTTTGGTCATGGCCACGCTGAGCCTAGTCCGTAACCGTGAGTCACAGCTCTTCTTTCTGATTCCTGAACATAAAAAAAAGTTTTCAGAAAGACATATTTTTTTACATATTCCATTCTTTTTTTTAAATGGTGACAGGGGCTGAGAGTGGCCTGGTGAAGATCTTTCTATCTCTCCTCAGTGCTGAACCCGTGACTACTAGCGAGTGAGGACGGTCATGCCAGGCACCAGTTCAGTTCTCTGATTGAAAATCCTGTTTTTCATAGCCAGACCTGAGAGGTGAGACGCTCACTCTCATTCTGTCGTATGTAGAATATGATTCTGAACAAACGAATATGATTTTTGAATGGAGCAATATAAACTTATATGATTCGTATTTGACAAAAAAAAGTAGAAAGATAACAGATGAACAGAAAACAGATTTTTTCATGTTTTCACTTTACTTAATTCAAAAATTTTCTCAAAAAGATTATTTCTAACATTTTAAAATGCATTTCAACAGATACAGCTTAACGCAACATATTGTGATATAGTTAAAATTTTAGTGGAAGTGCTATTAAAATGTGTCGTTACTTCTTTCATTTCTTATTCTTCGCAGCTGAGCGATTTAGCAGCGCTTAAGGCATCCTTCACTCAAAAATCTAACTTCAAAAGAGTGTATAAGATATTAATGAAACATTGCACAAACGTTCGACTTGTAGAAGTGCATTAATAAAAGAAACTCAGATCTCTACGCTTAATCGTTCACGAAATTTCCCAAGGCCGAATTGTACAACTCGGCCTTAGTCTCATTTCAAAGAGAACTCGTTACTAGTTAGAATGAGGGAAACGAGTCTATTAATTTTTACTTTGTTTCATTTTCTCGATCATTGAAACTTCAAAAATCTGAAGTTTCTAGACACAGTTTCTTGAAAAATTCAGAATTTATCTAATCTTTAAGATTAATTAGAAAATTCTTTTCCCTTACCTGAAAGGCTATGGATATATCTATCGATAAAAAAAATACAGTACTTTAAAATAAAGTACGTATATTAAGAAAGAATTTGTTCACAGTTCGATCGTTATTGAAAAGAAGCAATTTAAAGAAAAATGTAAAGGAAGTCTTGCTTTTTATATTGGTCTCCTATTATTACCTCAAATGAAGGTGAAATTTAAAAATATTACGTGTCACTCAAAGCGTTTGTCAATATACATTAGTTTGTCCTTGTGCGAAATCCATCACTATAGATGATGTTACATACCATTGCTTTTATATTTCTTATGCTAGTCACCAACACAATAAAGACAGAAGGATAATAAATTAATTGTTTCAAATTCACTTGTTTTCTTCCACTTTTTTTCAAGGCTGATACGGTGTAGATGAAGAGAAGATCCACTCCAATACCCTCATGTCATTGTAGATCTCAGAGGATGAATTCCTAAGATGCACAATATTTGGTTACATTTGAAAAATATTTCTTTATTTTGTGGCATCTAACTCCATAGACAACATTTACTAATTGCTCTAGAAATCACTATATGTACAAACAGTTCCAACAATCATGCGTAAAGTCTCGAATTTCATAGAAAACTAAAGCTACTTTTACGAACTCTTACCCTAGACAACTCAGACAAGATGTTCATATGTTTATCTCAAGAGTCATTTTTTTGACGAAAATAAATTTTCTGAGTGGGATCAGCAACTAGTTTTTTCAGTTTTGCACGAACAAGGGGATTTTATTTGAACAACAAACTCGTTACTGTTGTAGAGAAATAGATTGTACGTCGAATAAGCTCAAAGGCAAGTTTTTATATTACTTCAAAGTATGTCAAAGACGGCAAACAAAAGTGATCGGTTTTATCTGGGCCACTCGTTGTGGTGTGATAGATAACGATGATAATGTATATTACTGGTATCAATACCATTCGAAAGTTTTTCAAAAAGCCTAGCTGAAGAAAAGATAGTAAAACAAAGAATGGTTACTAGGGAATTTTTCAGAAAACCAAACCTTTACTTTTTTCACACGTATAACTGGTGCGTAATGTTTTCTCGCATCATACGAAAGGATAAAGCAAACCAATATCTACACAATGCCATGCGCTTAATCTCTCGACGACGTTTTCTGGCCGAACGGTATCAGATATACAAAAAATCTCGTAGAATTTTTGTCGAGCCATTTTCTACCAAATAGTCACTGAAATGACCAAACGAGAATGAGTCTGATGGATCTACGGATACTATTGATATATGAGAGATACTAATATTTTATGCAATGATTGTTTCATCATTGACTCTTCTGGAAATGCTATGGAGGGTTAAGTATTGATAATTATTGACATCTGAAGAGGATGCTTTGCGAAATATTTTATTGTTATAAACATGCAAACATACGTTGTAAATTGTCTGGTAAATATATACGAAGCAGTGCAAGGAAACTTTCAAAGTTTATATCGTCTTTTTCAAATTCTATGTGTAGTGAATAATAAATGATTTATAAGTTATCCTATCTGAAGTCATATGATCCTCAATTAGAAGATCATAAGTTACAAACCATACGCTTGTCAAAAATAAATTTCGAAAATAACGGAATCATTTCAAATTTTTAGTTTAACATGCTGAATAAAAAACATTAGTTTCTAAATGTATGAATGTGCAACAATTATATGATTCAAATTTATTTAATTCAAATATTTCATTTATTTGTACAAATAAAATGAATGTATATCAAGCAAAATTGACAAGCAAAACATTTATGTACAAAAAAAGACTTGTGAATCTAATTTTCGATCAAAACATTGAAACGTAATAAATATTAGTTATGTTTCCGCTTCCTGTTTTTGACATCTAAAATACGCAATACAAAAAATCAAAAATGAAGAAAATCATGTAGTATTTATAAGAGTTTTTCATTTCCTTAACTAAAGTTTTGCCCGATAATAATGCAACACTACTTCAAACAAACTGATTCCTTATACTGACTATACATTTTTATACAAAATATATTTCATCACATTTACTTTGATGTAATAAAACGCTACAAAATATTTTGTTTCTTCCGCGTCAGTTGCTAATTCAAATGAAATTTCGAATCAAATCCAGAAAAAAAAACAATCTAATAATAGGAAAAAATTTGTTTATTATTATTATAATGACAGAGGTGAACTCAAGTTGACAACATTGGTTTACTAAGAAAGAAAACAAATTTGTGCATAGACGAAACATATTTCTTTATATTCAAAGTGATCTTGGATTAAAAAAATCCGAGATATTATTAATCCACTTATTTTGTTGAATATGTATAAAAATACTAAACTTCATCTACATTTAATGCAACTTTCGATGACGGTCTACTGTTCAATTGTGTACTAATAATGGTTTCACTACTAGCTCGTTTTGAGGAATTACTTAAGGGATATGCATATGTTTGTGTTATAGAAGTTGATGGACGTCGATTTTGATTATTTAGAAGTCCATTACGACCATCTGGATGAAAATATGGTTTCAAACGAATATCATTTTTATTTTGTCGACGTCGTAATCGACTTCGTACATGATCATCCTTGCCAACTGATTTAATTCGTAGAAAGTCACAAATATCACCAATTGTCTCAAAACAAGCTGCACGAAATTTTGAACCAGATACACAATAAAATAAAAAATTCGTCTAAATAAAAAGAAAAACAATGAAGAAAAATCTTTTTTTTTTAAATTTTGTTTAAATAACGTACTGCTGAACTCATTTGAAGCCAAAGAACAGACAAATTCGTCCATAAAAAACGTAATTTAAGTCGTTTTAAATTATGATGTGTAGGTGGATTCATTTGATGAATATAATCAATAATAGCTGGTGTTGTAAATATATAAAAACTTAGTGAAACTGTAACAAGCATTATTGTTAATTGTCGTTGTTTTCTATTAAATGAAACAGCATTTAATTGATGAACAGCATTTTCAGGATTCATTAATGTTTTTGTACGTTGTCGTGTAGCAATAAATAATTCATAAATAATAAATATATTTGCTAATAAAAGTAAATCGGGTACAAAATAAAATATTGTTGGTTTTACAATGCGTATTATTTTTTGATATTGATGACGAACAATACATTTTTGTTGAACTTTATCTATTGTATATATGTTTGGGAATGTTGATGAGAATAAAATAAATGCAGCAACTATAAGAGCATATATTGAATAACGTGCACGTTCTATTGTACAAAAACGTTTGGCTAAAAATGGTGAATGCACCGCAACACAACGTTCTAATGTCATTATAACCATAACCCACACACTACAAAATGTGACAAGATCAGTTAAATAAGCAAGAAAACAATGTAATATATATGAATGAATCCAATATTGCGTTGCTAAATTTATTATATGAACAACAAGAACCGATGTATCAAATATTGCTAAATATGTTATAAATACACTTGATGATGTGTCACGTAATGAGCGACGATTTATAACAATAAGTGCAAGACCATTACCTAATATTCCACATATAACCATAAGAATTTGTGCAATGGCTATCCAAAAATTCACTTTTTGTATGAAATGAGTTATTTCAATACGAATTAAACTATCATTTATCATTGAAATTCCGGAATTATTTTGATTAAATCTACCATCGAAGCGAAGTTCACTACTAATATTATTCTGACTCATGTTAAAAGAAATCTATAACGAAATAATAGTGAAAACGGGAAATGAAAGGAAATATATCGAATATGATATCATCTATCTATTCTATGACATTCAGTTTCTATGAATAAAAACATTTTCCGATCGTCTTGCTATCAGTGACGCATTAAATGACTTCCCTTAGTTTGACCTTTGTTTTTTTCCATCTGCATTTACGGATATTTTTTGTAGCTATGTTGTTTCTGCATACACATACATCACGTATCTAGAAGCAACATGCGTCTGTTTTATACTGATTACTTCTCGTCTGTATAATCAACTTAGCAGTTTATTGCTTGTTTTAAACTAATAGAAAATTACCTTAAAATTAAGAACGAAATTTACGTCTTAGACCATTGTTTTTACTATAAAAGACAAATATCAATATATCATAGTGCTATTATTATATATGATGAAATTTCATCATCACGCCTCATTTATGTTGGTTCTAATGGAATGAATGATTTCTTTTCTTTTGTTTGCTTGATGAAACAAAAAAAAAAGAACAAGAATTTACATGAATATTATTCTCATTGTTAGAGGAACAAATAATCCAACATTGGATGAGTTACTTACTAGTAGAAACGTAAAAATTGACTGTTTAGTATCTAACTAGATCGACGACAATAGAAGGCAATTTTATTTTTCTTTGTTTATTTGATCAAAATGACATTTTCTTTTTTCGGAAAGAATAATGATTTGATTTTTTTTTTCTTTCAACAAATGAAAAAATTACAAATTTATAAATCTCAACTATGTTCTTTCAGTTATACAATGAATATTATTTGGAGATACATCAGTTATGAAAAAGGATTTAGAATCAAGAATAATGAGTAATGGGAAATAGCCAGATCTCTAACACGCACATTATACTCTCACACATGATAAGTGTATAAGATCGATAACTCGTAGTAATCGTAGATAGAAAGATATTGAAAGTTAGAATATTCATTAACAACTGACTGGTTTTCCATCAAGCGGATAAAAACACTTATGATCTAGAAGAAAGTCTTGTTAATCAACAAGCATCTGGTAAGATATTCTTCTTGTTGCTATTGTTGATTATAGCTTTGGGTAAAAGCATAATTCATTCTAACTTCGATATAGACGGTCTGAAAAGGATGACCTTACTGTTCTACTTAGCAATCGTATCCAGATTGTAGTCTCTTTTCTTTGTATAGATATAATCGAACGAGAAATGTTTGCATTAAAAGAAACAGAGAAAATAAATAAATTAATGTCGATAATTTCCTGTTGTGTTCTTTTTTTATCGGTCTAGTCAAATTCTTGCATCATAAATACCAGCATATGAAAAATGAACAAATGCACTACAATAAATAATGACTATTAAATAAATATGTTAATAATTTTCTGTCAATTTTTTATACACTTTTTATTTGATATAATAGGTATTGAATGGATTAATATCGTATTAATCTACGATTATTTGTCTTCTTTTGAGGATTGAGATTATTAATGATGTCTCCTATAGAGAAACAAGAAGAGCGAATAACAACATGATATTACTTACATAAGAAAATTAGCTACTTGATTTATAATAGATCATAATATTTCGAGTATGTATATTATCAAAGACAAGGCTAACAACAGATGCAAAAATATCGATGAATAAATAAGTATACTATGTTAAAAAAATAATAAATAGATCAAAGAAAACTTCAACTTGACAAATATGATGTTTGTTAAGATAATAATTAAATATTGATGATTTTTTTCCTCATGAACAAACAAACGTCGAATCCAGATCAAACTTTATTTGTTTTTCTTTTACGATGATTTGATTCTTTATAAATTTATAAATTAATTATTTCTATGACAAAGTAGAATATATCTCGATAGATCATCATCTTCAAGCAGATTTCATCCAATTTTGTTTGCATAATATCAAACTTTCTTTTTCGTTTTTATTCTTATGCGAACATATAATGGATGTTTCTCTGTTTGACTAATAATAGAAAAAAATGGGCTTAGAACTTCTCTATAATAGAAACTGAGAAATCATTCATGCTATACACATATAGTGTTAACAACAAAGAATCAGAAAAGAAAAAAAAAGTGCTTCTGTATTATATTGCCATAATGACATATTTCTTTCTTTTTCAACGATGCTTTTTCTTCGTATTTTCAACTTGATGACAAATGAATATTTATCAACACCAACTAATCATGAATTTTTATGAATATCTAAGTACTTATTAGTACTAGAAAGATGAGGAAACAAAAGAATTTATTAATCATATTTCGATGTTTACAAGAATAACGTTTAATTCAAAAATAAATAGAATCGTGTCATTTGGTTTAAGCCTTTCAATTATTTTTTAATAACATTAACAGACTTTTTGTGAATCAAACAAATAACTTAATAAAGCTTTAAATCTACATGTCACACACATGAATTAGTATTCAGATCGAATATGTGTCATTTTATTCATGCATAAAATGCAAATTTTTGATAGAGCTTGATCTATTGATGTATACCAATCGAATTGTTTGATACTCAAACTTGGAATAACCAGATATGACTTGATAATACGTTAAGAAAAGAATAAAAACGTAGACGATGACAATCAATTCGTTAGAAACTTTTTGACAGAGAACATTAGCTCTATTAGATAGTGTTGATTAATATGTGCTATGATGTAGAGCTAACCAGAGAAACATTTCGACGGATTATTTTTGTTTACAAAAAGTTACTGGGTTATGCTTTATTGATCATGGTGCCCCTGCATATGACCATAAGAGATTCCTTAGGTCTTCATAGATTGATTTTTGTAGAAAATTGATTTCTTTAGTTTAACAAGCTCTCAATATGTTTAGATTATAGAGCAAACTGAGTGTCTAAAAAATAAAATTTCTCTGTTTTTCAAAAAATCAGCTTTAAATGAAAGAATATATATATGAATTTGATATTTTCATTTTGAAATTTTGATATGTATTTGTTATACACAAATGCGAAACAAAAAACAAAATTAGAAATCCAAATTTCTCTATTGAATTGCGAAAACAAATTCCAAACTACTCATGCAATTTTTAGATATCGAGCTTATGTATGATTATTTTTCAGTACATATAATTATCATGAACATTTTTTCATAGCTAAAGAATATTTTGTCTGCTGATTACATCTGTGTTTTGTTATTTAATTAACAAGAAACTTATGGTTTTCTCATGCACTTCTTTTGGATAGATTTTTAATGATATAGTCATTTTTCTCTTCTTCGATCTCATTTATATTCATACGTGCATCTTTCGATTCATCATCCATAATTTAGTCTAACTTATAATAATTAATGTATAAAAAGCATTGTCTTAAACTTGAAATTCAGTTCATGTTGACACCAATTATTTATTCAAATGACTTTTTCAAGAATACAGGATGTTTTGATTATTTTTACGGAAGACTTTAGATTATAGCTAGTGTATGTTGTTCTGTTAATTAATAGTCTCAAAACACTAAATGAATTATTCGATGATTGCATGAGAATAAAATTCGCGTAGTAATTGTTAATCAAAGTTATAGTAAACATTTTTAATATCCTTCTCGAAAAACTGAAATCTGAAAAAAAAATGAAAGTAAAAACAATGTAATAGTCGAGTGAAAACAGATTGTTGGATAGAGGTTGATGCACTGATTAGTAATATATTACTTTGGTCCGCAATTCAGGTTGAAATCTTGATTTTTTTCAATTTTGGTATTTTTTGATCTTTTCTGCTTTTTATATTTAATAAAAGATATTTATTATATGTTGTGCCTATGGCTGTATAGAGACGGCGGTGCGCTGCAATTAACGCTATTCCAACAAACGACTGCTATTAAGAGATAGAAATAATGACTCATTTTATGTATAAGTGACGCTTATCAATATCTTGATTTTTTTGTATCACTGCTATGCATTTCTTATATTTTTCCTGATTAAATATTTACTTATACACAGTAGCTAGTATTAGCCAATAGCGATTTAATTAATTGTTTTTAATTGCTGCATTATAATAAAAATGGACGTTGATCCTGACAATGGTGGTGGTAACCATGAAAGAATATCGACTGGAATGATGAGAAAAATGATTGCACATGCTCATAAATCATGTGATATGCTTATTAACGATGATCCTCTGCTGAAAAAATCTATGAATAATATAAAGAATGTGAAGAATTACGAAGGAATTGACGAAAAAAAAGAAGATGATGATATCAATATAGAAGCAAACGATAGCATTTTATAACTTTTATTAATATACAAATATTTTGAAAACCACTTCTGAACTTTGTGATTAGAATCCTTGATAGACATTTAAACTGTTGTTTTTTCTGTATAAATCAATTGTTGCCTATATAAAATATATAAATTTGAAAAATTTATGTCACACTTTTTTTTTGCACATATTTTCTTTTAATCTTTTTATAACTACGGCTCGATGATCTGTTACTCATATTATACCACTATATAGTTCATAGTGCTCCCTAGCCAACATATTAGTATGATGATAAAATAATGGAAAATCGTTTCAGGAGAAGTGACTAAACAAAACCTCTCTCAACCTGAATTGCGGACCAAAGTACTATAGCTATAGCTCTGGACAGAAAGCCAGTCTGATTCAGAATTCCTCCTGCTTAATCACTTAGGTTCCCCATTCGTACTGACTAACTAGATACTAACCACAAGAGTTTTTTGTGTATGTCATACGTAATCAGCGTGCTATCGATTGAGTGATCCGAGACAAACAGTCGTTAGTAACTTGTCCAAGGTCATTCTATGTCTCATGGTGTCGAGGTTCGAACACAGTATCTTGTAGATAGGGGTCGAACATCTTAAACATTCAGCCATAGCGACTACGGTAAATAAAATTCGAGTGTTTTCCAAACAGAATCTAATTGACGGTGACATAATGCGCAGGGGCGTTCTAAATGTTGTTTTTCACTTTGAATGATCACATCGTGAATAAAAGGATAATCATCTTTTGTT